ACAATTAATAAAAACACATAGTTACATAACTCTACAAATGAAAATGTGGAAACCAAGAAAATAAATTAGAGAGAAATGAGAAGATAGTGTAGTACATTGCATTAGAGTAGACCTGCTGCATCAACAGAGATTTAGTTTGTCAATTCCTCCATGATTTTCAATGAATGATTCAAGCGGACCTACAGTGGACCCTCTACTTACGGAATTAATCCGTATTGGAATGGTGGCTGCAGGTCGAAAAGTCTGTAGGTCGAGGCTCCATTGACATACAATGCATTGAAAACTGATTAATGCCATAATCAGCCATTTTTGTTCCATCTTTGTTCCATTTTGGTTTTTTTTCCTGGTCTGCAGATCGATTCTCCGGCTGCAAGTTGAACCTAAATTTTGCGGCCAGAGAAGTCTGTAACTCAAAAAGTCTGTAAGACAAGCCATCTGTAAGTCAAGGGTCCAGTGTACTCTAATTGTGATTTATTATGGTAAATTAAGTTACAACTAGGGTATGCCCATTTGAATCAAGGAAACTTAAGGAGGGGGTTGACTAACAAAACCTTTATTGATTTAGTGGGCCTACTATAGTGTGAATTATTTTACTGAGCAACAGGATTTTAGACTAATTGCATTAGTAGGAAAGGAAAAGGAAGTTTTAAATATGGCCTCCTTTTAACAATCAGTTACCATTAAACAACAAAAAAAAATTAAATACAGGTAATAATGTTCATGCCATTGCACTTGTCTTAGCACAGGTAAGCAGTAAGGTCATGGTCTATTCCGGTCCTTGCCAGAATTGAGTAGGTGTTCTTCAGAAATGTTTTATTGAGCACACAAATGTTTGTGGGAAATGCTGGTTTAAATAAGCCTCCAGCTATGCAGCAGAGATTATTCTAGACAGAGCCCTACAGAGCAGATCAGTGACATTTTACAGCTCTCCCTCAAATAGACTTCCCCTTATTGTATAGGTTCGTTTTAGTTAGATTTTTACCTCAGTTTACATTAACTGGCATACTGTCTTGATGAATTCAGTCAGAAACTCTGGTTTGAGAAAGAACAAAATTGTATCTCTTCTGCTCACAAAATGTTCATATTGGAATACAGATTCACTAGTTACATAGTATAAGATTTTATTTGCTTCACTAACTGATTGGTTACATTAAACAGAACACTGACACTGCCATTACCTAACCTGTCTCAGAGCTCATTGCAAAACACTTAACATGCTCTAACAGACCTTGAACCCTTACTGAGGTAAAAAAGGCGGGAAAAGGAAATCTGAGGTAGAAAGGGTAACAATTGCCTACCCAAAGCCTCTCTCACCAAAACTTCTTAAAGGTGTAATATGCAGATTGCTCTTCCAACATGTTTTACTAATTGGGCCTATTTTGAAATTTTCCAACAAATTGGAACAAGTTCAGAGGAGGGCAACAAGAATGAGGAGGGCAGTAAGGCTGGAAACTAAACCTTATGAGGAAAGACTGAAAGAACTGAACATGTTTAGCTTTGAGAAGAGGACTGAAGGGAGAGATGATAGCACTTTTCAAATACTGTACTTGAAAAGCTGTCATGCAGGGGAGGGGTGGGATCTCTCCTCAGTCATCCCAGAGTGCAGGACATGCAACAATGGGCTCAAGTTGTAGGAAGTCAGATTTAGACTGAATATCAGAAAAAACTTCCTAACTGTTAGAGCAGTACAGCAGTGGAACCAATTACTTTGAAAGGTGGTGGTGCTCCAACACTGGAAGCATTCAGGAGAAATTCAGACAACCACCTGGCAGTTATCCTTCGATTTATATTCCTGCACTGAGTAAGGGGTTGAACTTCATGGCCTTATAGGCCCCTTCCAACTCCATAATTCTATCATACTTCTTTTATATTTGATAGCTCCCCACTGTATACACAATACAATGTCTAATAGGAAACAGTTTGAAATATTTGGCTTCAGCATGATTCACATAGTAGCTTACGATTATCACAGCTTAAGAAAACTGCTCATTTTTCTAATGGCATATATTGAAAAAGGCCAACCTTAGTTGTAAATAGAATCCCCTGTGATTCCACACTTGACATTGATAAAGTCAGATGCTAAATTTAGACACTGGAGAAGAAAAACAAGGCTGCCTTACTGTTGCATGAGAGTGCAGCTGTGATCTTGTGCTGGCAGAGCAAATCTACATTCTGTAAGGCAATTGGCAATTGCAAAAATGGGGACAGCCCAAACAAAAAAAACACACTACATTTAAACTAGGCTTCAAATCAGCACCATATTTGACACAATGTGGCAAATAGTCTGCTCTTGCCCTGTGCCAAATTTGTGGAACTTTGGCAAAGGGTTTTCAAATTATGATTTTTTTAAAAAGCAAAACAGTTCCCCCATTCAGAATAGGTGACCCTAAACATTCCCAGATTTACAACAAATCATATAAATTGATACAATCAATCTTGCTTATCTTAAAAGAGAATGGTTGGCCCCACCCACTTCTTTTTATTTGAAAGGAGTCCAGGGTGCAGAGGCTGGAATACTGATCCTCAAAAAAGGCTTTTCAAAAGGGAAACAGCTACTTTGTTATAAGACTGAACATGCATGGTACAGGCTAGTCAGCAGGAGCTTTACAAAATGAAACATTTTATGAAAGTGGGATATTGTGCTTCTGTGTCCAAGATTCAAAATGCCAAAAAAATGGTCTGATATTGCTGTACAATGTCATTCCCACAAAAGGATGCCAAACTTTACAGGGAAGCCTGAATGTCCATGACACCAAGAGCAGTAGTCAAGACGGTCTGCAGGGCACTCTCTTCTACTCACTACCATTCACAAAGAGATACCATATAAGGGAAAATCTCAGAATCTGATTCCTTTTTTCATCAATTAGACACTTCTCACCCAAGCACAAAGCAATTGTCAGGGCTGTTTTTCAACAGGTTTTCTAGGTATCAAGATGCCTAGAAGAAATCGTAGTAAGCAAAATAGACTATCTTGACTATTGACATGGGTATCAAAAACATTCAGGCTATCCTTTAATATGTAAAATCTGGCATCCTTTTTTCTGCTGGCAACTCCGGCAAGATATTTTGCAATAGTATCAGGCCATTTCCTGGTGGTTTGAACTGTGAATACAGAAGCACTGTTTCCCCCATTCATAAACCAGAGGCTTGTGGGGTTTTGTTTTATTTTGTTTTGTTTTGTTTTTTGATGAACTGAATAGAGATTTATATTGTGGGGCAGCCTTTTCTAATTTACTCCGCTCTCCTCCAAGTGTTTAAGAACTCAACTGTCATCATCATTGACCATTGGCCATGGTGCTAGGACTGACAGAAATTCTAGCCCAGAACATCTAGAGAGCACCACGATGGGGAAGGTTGTTTTAGGGATTTCAGAAGCATAAAGAGTCATTATAAGCAGGTGCTTGGAAATCATATGATGCCTCTTCAAAGAGTCCAAACACCCCACACGTGTGCTCTCCTATTTAGAACAGCAGCCTCAGTAGTGTTGCTATAATGGAGAAAATGGTCAATCCAGCCAGGCAAGGAACAAGTGGACATTTTCTTGTGGCTGTATATGGGGTGATTTCTCATCTTCCATCTCAGGAAGGAAGAGAGAGACAGGCAAACTGCCATAGCCAATGGACTTTGTTTCAAATTTCATGTATGGAAGTTTGTCTCACTTTCACAGAAGAGACAAGGACAGAAGAAATCTGCTTTCCAAATTATGAAATGATCTGAATATTAAGGTCTGTCTTGCCTGGATTCCTAGAGACATTTGTAGTTTATCCCCACAATTTCCCCCCAAGCTTCTTTGTATTAATTTAGTTCTATTTCACTTTACTGTACTTAGTTGCTCACCTGATTTGTGATTCTTTGTCTATTTAAGGTAAAATCTATAGTTTGAGACATTTTTCTTTCCTGTATTTAGACCAGTATCCTGGTTTTGGTTTTGAATGTGTATACAGTGCAGTGTGGGCCCCCCTCCATCTTGTGGCTGTACGAGCTGGAGGTCACTACCTTGCTTTGAACAGGGGTTTCTACTTACACAGGAAGTTGGTCTATTTCCCCTTGTGTGTGTGGCAGCCAGAGAGGAGCCGTGGAACACACTATTCTGGATGTGCTTCAAGACCAATAGGACATTTGGGTTTAGAGTCTGAAACATGGCCTTACATACGTATTTATTCAGTACAGTATTTAAAAAAAAGCACTATGTCATATTGCAGAGACACATAAATAGACAGATTGGAGCGCATGCATATGCCGTTAAAGAACTATAGGCTCAAAGTCTCCTGGCATCAAATAATTAGCCGCATGCTTATTCAAATCATTGTTAATATATTTTTCAAAAATGTGCAGAAAAAAGTTTGACATTAAGTGTTCTACAGTACTTATCTATGTGCTTTGGTGCATTTTCTTTCACTTCTGTATATTCTTCAGTAGACTTTGCATAAAAGCTCTAAAAAGCGTACTGCTGTCTCAATACTTTCCAATATTTAATATTTTATTATCCAATAATGCATTTAGAGTACTTAGGAAATATTTTTCTAGTATTATTACAGGGTGGATTTGATTTAAACCAAATTGATTTAAATTATGATTTCATTTTTTAAATGATTTTTAACAATATCACTTAAAATATTTTTGATTATGATTTAAATCAATTTGATATTTTAAAATCATTCATTTTTATGCATATTGATTCTGGATGTAACACTCTGTTTAAGACTGCTGGTGGTTCCTAGAAAACCATTAAAAGCAGAGGGAACAAATAGTTTGAGCTGAACCCTAAGACTTCTCATGCACTGAGAATGTTTCCAGTTGACTGCTAGATAACTCTGTAGAGAATCAATGTAAGAAATACCCATCCCTTTCTTTTTTTTCTTGCCCCTTCATAATTGCCCAAGATGTACAAGTCCTACCATATAGGTTTTGCATATTTGAACATGTACAAAATTAAGTCTTTCCTATAGTAGGTTGATTTTGCTCTTATTCTTCCTCTTTTGTTTACTGTATTTTTATAGGTGTTGATTTTAAAATCAAAACAGTAGAGCTAAGAGGAAAGAAAATTAGATTACAAATCTGGTAAGTAAAAATGCAACTAGCCAAATGTTAATTATACATTTTATTCTGGCATGGTTCACAATGATTATCTAATATGATTAACTTTTATAAGCTCATTTAACTTTTAACTCATCTGCTGCTACTTTCCCTTTCCTCACACAGCCTTAGAAATACATAGTGAATTTGTCATACAATGATTTTAGGGCAGAACCACATGACCAATAATATTGCTTATGCAATTTATTTGTGTGTATGTGTATGTGACGTGGTGGGACATGGTGGTGCTGTAGGTTAAACTGCAGAAGCCTCTGTGCTGCAAGGTCAGAAGACCAGCAGTCGTAAGATCGAATCCACATGACGGAGTGAGCTCCCGTCACTTGTCCCAGCTCCTGCCAACCTAGCAGTTTGAAAGCATGTAAATGCGAGTAGATAAATAGGTATCATCACGGTGGGAAGGGAACGGCATTCCGTGTCTAGTCATGCTGGCCACGTGACCACGGAAACTGTCTACGGACAAACGCTGGCTCTACGGCTTGGAGACGGGGATGAGCACCGCCCCCTAGAGTCAGACACGACTGGACTGAATGTCAAGGGGAAACTTTACCTTTCCTTATGTGTATGTGAAGCATTGAAACCCATTTCTTTAGCTAAAAAGGCTTTCAGAACGGTTCAATCATCATTTCAAACCCAAAACATCCTAATGGTTATTCTGGCAGCAAAATGGTTTGGGGATACCTGTAGATAATCTGACTCAGCAGAATGATTTTATACTGCAACAAAGTTATTCATTCTGACTCCAGAGTCCATCTTTGTACAGCCATTCTTGAATCTAAATACAGGTACTACTTAAGTAAACAAATCAAGGTGTTTGTAAGCTTTCCACACAGTGATTGTCTTTGGACACATGCATTCTAAAAACCAGCATGTAATTAAGTGCTAAAGACGTTCATAGTTGGGGTGAAAAAAAACTCCAGGCACCTGGTCACTTTGATGCTTACAGATTTTATATTAGTACTGATGAAAAATTGAAACGGATTTTTAAAAATCCTTTTGTCGAAGCTATTAGTGATACTGAGAGATAATATTAGTAAGAAAACAAGATGATGCACAGCTTCATCAGCCAAGAGATGAGTAGCAACAGTTGCTCAGAAGTGATTTCTATGCCGTAAACTGTTGTGTTAGTGCATATAATATGAAAAAAGTAAACACAGTAGTGTGGTGCAAACTGCTGTTGTGAGAGAATAAACGAGCTATGCTTACTCAGTCCTAATCCTGTAATTAGTTCATGGCTTTACCCCAGTGCATTAATAGTACTACTGTATAATTGGCATTAGAGATAACTGGTAGATATGCTAACAGCCTGGAGAGAGAAAAAAATAAAAGTCAGTGGTTGTTTGCATGACACCACTGGAATAATTTAATACAGTAGTATTTAACTTTTGCATAGATTCGGCGAATTTAGTTTACTAACTCCTCTTGGCAGGTCACCATCATCAACTTTGTTTGTCGCATCATGTGTTTGTCTTGCTTCCAACTGAGTTAATTGCTGTTGCATCTTTCATATCATCCATTACCTAATACTTGAAAGTTACTGGCATGACTTCATTCCTCATCTGTGTCCCCATCTGGATTCCTATGGCCAGAGAATTGGTACTTGAGCCAGCATGGTGGTTAGCCAGGGTCTACTGAAGCTGATATGAGGTAATGTCGATCTTCAATGTGCCAAATCTGAGTATAAAATTAATCAATACTGTGATTTTCTTAGACCCAGTACACATAAAACATCTTAATACTTGTAATGAAGCCTGTGTTTCTGCACTCATTCTATTGATATCAGTGGGTGCATAATAAGGATTCCATTAGTCTTATTAGTGTTTATTTTCCATACATAATTTTCATAGAATTAAAAGAATCTTTTAATGGGATTACTTTGCTTAATCCAGTGAAGATGCCTATTTATAAAAAATTAAGGTAGGATTCCACTAAGAATTATGTCAGAGGTTTCCTACGTTTGAAATATGCAAAAACTCATCAGAGCTGTTATCTATAATGAGGAATCTGTGTGTACCCCTGGCACATATGTACTGTTATTAATTCAAAGCTTCCCCATTCATTTCAGAGAAGGAAGTAGATTAACATACAGAGAAGATGCATGTCTGAGTAGTCTTGTCTGTCTCCATTGGAATTAATGGAGAGGTTCTCAGCAGTTAGGGCTCCACATTGTGTAAGTTCAGCAGACATAACTTCTGAATTTTCAGTCTTTCTTCATAGCCAGAATCTTCTTGATGTTCACGTAAGGTGTGTATAACTGGCTTCAGCTAATTGACAAGGTGCCAGTGTCCATGTTGGTTATGCAGTTATGTGACTAGGCATATGACCAAGATGCACCAATGTGCTTTATCTGTTAGCCACAGTTAGCTTTGACAAGTTAAACTTAATTCATTTGAATACCACTAGGATTCTGTTTAGAGATGGTGGTATTCCTATCCTTATACAAATATGAATATCCCCACACAGGTGGCGATAACAAGGGTCCAACCCCATGGGGCCGGACAGTCCACTCACTGATCCGCCGCTGCTGTGGATACAGCAATTCTTCAAATGGCTCCGCAGATCACAATCATCTAGCCACTCCTGGCAGGAAGTGGGAGGACAAGATTCGCTGCAAGGTTGAACTGTGGCTCTCAGATTGCCATCTGCAGAGCCATTGGAAGAATCACAGTGGATCATTGAGTGGACTCTTGTTATCACCACCTGTGCAGGGATATTTGGATTCGTATACGAAGACCCCCATCTCTAATTCTGTTCAATGTTTATTTCATTTAGATATTATTCTAATCTTAGCACTAGGTAAATAGTTGCATCTCTTCTCCCCTGCCTTGATGTATTTGAAGTCAGCTGTTAGTGTTGTTTAGCTTTTCTAAGAAATCACGTCAGCTGCTAGGATTATGCAGACTGTAAAGGAATCTGCACTGCCAGTTTGGCAAAAGCTTCTGCTTACATTCTAGTTGCTATAAAAAAAACCAACAACCTGGCAGTTCCACATTTTGAATGCTTTCCAAGCTGTTTCAGTTTCAAGTATCTAAGCAATCATTATTTGAAAATGCAAATTCCTATTTTACTCTACAGTATTTGGGAAGCCCTCAAAATATTTGAGTATGGGAGCCTTCTCAAACCTTTTCCTATTCTTGTAGGTGGCCACACAGATGTTTGCTTTACTGCATGTAATACCCTATAGGAAAATGCCATATTCAAAGTGGGCCTGAATCTAGTTTGATACAGCTTTAAACCATGGAGTTCCCTTCTTTGTTTCCCTTTTTTGTTATTTTGTGCTTGTCATAAAATATTAGTGCCATAAAGTGCCAGTTCAAGTGTTTGCATTGTAAGCATGCCTTCATAGTAAAGCCTTCTGAAAAGTGTTTGGAGAGACATTCATTTCATATTTAACTTCTTCAGAATTATCTAGGAGTTAAATGTTTTCTTTGAAATGAGTCTGTCAAGAGGATGTGTTTGGAATTCTAGTACTGGTGTGTATGTTTTTAGTTTTTGCATCCTAGATACATATTTTTCATTCTCATTAGAATGAGAAAGTACAGTGAGCGTTTTACTTTTATAGGTATTTGTTTTCTAGTTGTGCAGTGTTTGTAAAGGAAACCATTTTTTAATTCGGGGAATTTTTTGGATAAAACTTAAAATTACAAGGCTTGAAGCTGATTTGAGGATTTGTACTGGGCCTGCAGTATGGAGAAAAGATTGTTCCCTTCTAGTTATGCTGATGGAAATAGTGCTATCAATGAATTTGCCCTGTCAAATTCTACCTAGAAGTCTGAAATAAGAATATCTGCTGATTTTAAAATCCATTACTTATTTCAAATAATAGTACAGTGGTACCTAAATGACGACCCCATTAAACGACAAATCCGCACAATGATGACTTTTTGCAATCGCTATAGTGATTCGCAAAACAGTTATTCCTATGGGGGATTTTTGCTGGATGTCAATTAAGTCCGTTTGTTCACAAGACAGTGATTTTTTCAGCTCCGCAAAATGGCTGCCCGGTGTTTTCCGAACCCATGCTTTGCAGGGCAGCCATTTTTACAGTTGATCAGTGCTCGCAAAATGGCTTCCCTATGGGCGATCTTCGCTGGATGACAAGATATTTTCCCCATTGGAACGCATTAAACTGGCTTTCAATGCATTCCAATGGGGAAAGGGTTTTCGCATGACGACAATTTCGCTAAACAGCAATTTTCCCGGGACAGATTATTGTCGTCATGCGGGGCACCACTGTATAAGAAATACCCATTAGAAGATTAATTTTGTCTTGCTGTACCACTATTTTGTTTTTGGTTTGGCTTTGAGCCACATATTTTAAACATCTAGAATTTCTGTAACACATAATCATTCTATCTGAAATTCCCTCCGTATTACCACAGAGGTTCAGCAGTGGCAACAGGGTTTTAGACCATTGGGCATGGTTTCTAGCTGTCTCTCCTGTTCACACTACCACCAAGCAATGAGTTACTGCCTCTATTTTGTATTATTATAGATGGACAAGACTTGCATTATGCCATGTCATCACAAGTTGTTGGCACATCACCACAGGTACTTCATTTCTCTTTCCCCACCCCCTGGCTGTCTCCCCCATTCCTCAGCCAGCACATGCAGCTTGTTTCCTGCTCTTTGCGTGACTGTCCAATTGCAGCAGGAACATGGCCTTCTCTTCTCCATCTCCTTCGCTGTCTTTGAGTGGGCAGCTGGTAGAGGAGGCAGAGAAGGGAAATCCATGCTCCTGCTGCAACTGGATCGCTGCACAAAAAGCAGGAGATGAGCAGCAGTCGCTGGCTGGTGAGGGAGGGAGCCAGGCAGGGTGGGGGAAGGGAATGCAAGTGCTGCATCGATTACTTGTGACAATGTGACACAAAGCAAGTCATACCCATCTCTAATTGTTGTGGCTGGAATCCTGTTTGTTGTGGCATAATGTAAAGTTATACCTCCATAAACTCACCAGCCATTATGCCCAGGCAGTGAGGATTGTGTGTCATTCTGCCGCTGAGTGCTGAGGCAATAAGAGTGGTGGTGTTGGGGTTGCCCTTGACAGATGGACTGACTGATGGATGTGCCCTGCCAATCCATGCTTTGTAGAGTTCATTTCCCCTGCCTACTATGGTCTTCCCTCCTCCAGTGCCTCCTCTTGCATGACCAGCAGTGTTTTCCCATGCAAGCAGTAGGAGCAGCCCTGTTGATTGACAGCAGGAGCCACAGCAGTTGTAGTGGTAGTTCAAGTGAAAATTATTTGCAAATGTTGGAAGCGAATAATGTCAACTTGAAAGAGATATTCTCTTCTACAAATTCTGTAGGTTCAAACTGCTGCATGAATTTTCCTATTCTGTTTGTATAGAAGATTTTGAAGACTGCAGTTGGCCAAACAGATCCCATTGCTACTGTCTGCATATATTGTTCTCAATTTGATCATTATACAGTGGTGCCTCGCAAGACGGGCACTCCGTTTAATGATGAATCCACATTACAACGAGGTTCTTGCGATCGCAAAATGACATTTTGAATGGAGGAATTTCACTGTGCGATGATTGGTTCCCTGTTTCGGGAACCGATTTTCGCTTCCCAACAATCAAAACAGCTGATCGTCGGGATTTCAAAATGGCCGCCGGGTGATCAAAATGGCTCCCCGCTGTGTTTAGGAGCCATTTTTCGCTGCACTGGCACCTGAAAATGGCCGCCCCTATGGAGGATCTTTGCTGGACGGTGAGTTCTTAGCCGATTGGAGCGCATTAACCAGGTTTTAATGCATTTCAATTGCTTTTTTATTTTCGCTTTATGATGTTTTCGTTCTACAGCGATTGGAACGAATTAACGTCGTAGTGTGAGGCACCACTGTAATGATCACTAGACGCTAGGAAGCAAAGCTCTATAAAACTACAACAGTGTGGTGAATTGTATGCCATATTGTAATGTTTAAGTAGTAATAAATCAAAATATCCTTTCCTCAGATAGCCTATCTATTTATTAGTTGCATTTAATCTTTTCTCTGTTAATTCAAGATAGTGTATACATGCTTCCTGCTTTATCCTTGCAAACACCATGTGTAGTTTCTTAAGCTAAGAGTGATTTGTCCAGGGTCACCCAGGGAGTTTCATGGCATAATGCTGACTTGAATCTGGCTCTCCCAAGCTTTGTAGAGTCCACCGCTACAATACAGTAACCAGTACATCACAATGAATGGTAAATGCAGAATTTTAGAAATCCATTCACAATTTTAAAAAAACTCAATTAAAAATAATTACAGTACAAGATTGCTACAAGCAGGTTTTCTTATGTATTTTTAAAGCCCTGACAGATATGTCCACTGTCTCCAAAGAAATCACTGTGAAACCCCTGACGTTATGGTCCTTGAGAGTCCCATTTAATCCAGTGGAACTTAATTAATTTTTTAGAAATGGGGAGGGGGGGTTGGTTCAGTATGTAATTAAAATACAAACAAACATTTTTGCTTCTAAAGTCATGCTCTCCCTCCCAGCCTGTACTAAGATACAACCTTTTAAACTCTGCAACCATAATGTTGTAGGCTTGCATACTGATAAGTGTTGTGTTCTGTAGATGTGTCTGGCAGGTTCACACTTGGGGGTCATGCCTTAGACCCTTAGAAAAAGTATATCATTCTGCCAATATAATCTACTGCTGACTGCCCTTAACACGAGAAACAGAATGTTTCTGTGTGCGACAGAGTCGACATTTTATGGTAGAAGCAGTGAATGATATTACCTTTGGGGCCATTGAACACAAGCTTTATATTGTTACATTGCATGCTTGAATCAACAGCTACAAAGAATCATCTTATATGAATTTGTCCTTGCAGCTGAATGTGCTTCCTAAAGTCATGTGTAGTAAAAGGATTTTTACACTTGCATATATATTTTCAACCCTGCCAAAACTGCTTTTCTTGCTTTTGAGTTCTTACGTTGTCTCTGAACTCTCATAACACTTGTATTTGTTCTGTTTTTAGGTAAGGAAAAATACAGATTTAACATAGTGACTTTCTTAAAGTGCAAATTTGTAATGCTTTATAAATTGGTGGTAAAATGCTTGTACCAACATTTGCTGCTTCTTAGGGATACAGCAGGTCAGGAAAGATTCAACAGTATTACCTCAGCTTATTACAGAAGTGCCAAGGGAATTATATTGGTGTATGATATCACAAAGAAAGAGACGTTTGATGATTTGCCAAAATGGATGAAAATGATTGACAAGGTAAGCCTCAGTTTCTCAAATAAGAACTATTATTTGAAACATATCTAATGTGAAACTTCATTGTGGCAACTTAGTTATAGAGTGAACTGTATAAATGAAAGTGTCCATTTTCTAGACATTTGGTTGTTAATTCTAAAACAGTTTCTGGACTTAGAAGGCATAAAGCCTCCAAGGTGGTTATCCTTGGAGCTTTCCAAGCATTTCAACTGCCATAAGCCTCAGCAAGTAAGTGCACCTGTAAAGCACGGAACATGAGCAATATTCTTAACATGTACTGGTAGAGGGACACTTAAACGTAAAGGGGAAAGGAACAGGACAAGACTGGGATTCTTCTTAGCATGTACATTGATTCAGCACTATATTGTAACTGTCATATTTTAATAATTTTGGTCTGATCAGTATGATATTTGAAGTCTGAAGACGCAACCCAGTGTAATAGGCCATTTTGTATCTTTGTTTGTTTTTTCCTCACAGTATGCCTCAGAAGATGCAGAGCTATTACTGGTTGGAAATAAATTAGATTGTGAAGTGGACAGAGAAATTAGTCGACAACAGGGAGAAAAAGTAGGTGACACTAAATTAACATTTTTTGGGTAAAAGAAAGAAGGAATTCTATGTGAAAATCAGAAAATCACAGAAGCTTAATATTAGGTTATTTTTACTTTAATTTTAGCATGGACTAAAGATTCTTCTCTTATCATTTGGCAAGTTTCTTTAATTAAAACAAAATGTTAATTTCCTATTTATGTGATATTCTTACAAAGTTAACTAGGCAGGATCCTTGATTATAAGGTAAACTATGTTCATAGATTTTCTTGTGATCATCTATTTATAATTACTGCTTATCTTCATTCTAATAAATAAGTAAATAACCTGAATTACGGGAACTACTGTGGAATTAAACATAGTTTTGATCACATTAAAGGACACTGAGCAGGACCGAGCTTTCTTCTTCTTCTCTTTTATTAGTTTGCACAGCAGATAACTGGGATGCGGTTTTGCGAAGCTAGTGCCAAGGATAATTTTAATGTGGATGAAATATTTCTGAAACTAGTTGATGACATCTTAAAAAAGGTAAAATGTTTCCATACTGTAAATTAATGGGACTTAAAAGTGCAGTCCTATACATGTCTACTCAGAAGCAAGCCCCATTGAATTCAGTGGGACTTACTCCCAGAAAAGTGTGTATAGGATTATAGCCTTCAAAGTGTGAGTTTTAAGAAAAGTTGTGTTGCTCACTGAGCTTTGCTGCAGATAGATTTGTATTCACACATTCTTCAGTTATTAAAGTGCATCATCTGCTAAACTCAGTTTCTTGGTAGAATACTCTGCATTGCTTGTAGCAGTGGTTCCCAACTTTGGATAACCGAAGTTTCTGGAACTGCAACTCCCAGAAGCTTTCACCACTTCTTGTGCTGACCAGGAGTTTTGGCAGTTGCAGTCCAAGAACACCTTGGTTACCTGAGGTTGGGAACTACTGCTGTAAGCAGTGTGAAGTATTTACCAAGAAACTGACAGTAGCAGATGGTCCACAAATGGATTGATTTTTCCATGAGGCTAGATGGGTGGTTGTTTCCGGCATCCAGGAGTGGCAAATATGCCATTTTCTTTGTTTCGGAGAGCTGCTGCTACAGAGTGAGAGGCCTTGCAGAATGTGGGGAGGGGCAGCACTTTTCTTTTTGCCATAAGCAGGGAGGGTGCTTGAACCACCCTATTTGATGGCTTCATTATTGAACTTAAGTTGCTCTGGGAATTAGCTGCTGAATTATTTCTGCTTGTTTAGCAGCGTCATCTTTCACCTGTACAAATGTGTACAGATGAAAGATGACCCTTACTGCTACTTCTTTGCTCTTCAAAAGTAATGATCACTGACAGTTTTAAATTGATGTTGGCTTGGATAGTTTAGTGGGTTGGAGCACCTGGCTGCAGAGCCAGGACTGGGAATTAAGATTCCCTGTTGTGTCTCTGGGAAGAAGGATCAGCCTGTCCACCCTTGGGCACCACAGAAAGGAAGGACAGGAAAACTACTTCTGAATACTTTAGACCTAGAAGATCCACGGAAGGATCACAAAAAAGTTGGAATCAACTTGATGGCACAGAATCAGTTAGTTCTGACCAGATTGAAGTTCATCTTTTTATAGATTTAATTGCTTAAGATTGTATAGAATCTGCTTAGGCTATTGCTTACATTAAAGTGTTTGTTTGTTTTTTTAATTTGAAGATGCCTTTTGATGTAATAAGGAACGAATTGTCCAACAGCATCCTCTCCCTACAACCAGAGCCAGAAATTCCACCAGAACTGCCACCTCCTAGACCTCATGTCCGTTGTTGCTGACTTGCTGCTTTGTCCAGAGTGGATGAGGGAAGGAAGAGGAGGAGGAAGAAGAAGAGAGAGAGAGGCACCTATACTCTCTGAACTACAATCATATGGCAGTTCATTTTTGCACTTTGATTCAGAGTCAGAGCTACACACTACTTGTAAATATGCAAATATGCAAACCTGGATAGAATTCAGCTGAACTGATTACCTTTCCACAAATGTTTTTTTCACTCCTTTTCCCCAGCACTATAAATATTATATGTTTGACTGGGAAATACAGCACTCCCAAACCTAGGATGTAAGAAATTAAATCCATACTTTACTTATTCTGAACATAAATGTTGTAATAGTCCTTGATATAAGCAGAATCTCTTCTAGTCTATGGTGCTTTGCTAGCTTTTTAAAAAGATCATTTAAAAAAATTTTTAGACTTAACACCTATAAAGCTTTCTTAGACAACATTGTTTCCCACATACATTTTAAAAGTATGTTTACTGGGGCATCTTAAAATGATTGACAGCACAATTCTGTTTGATTTTTTCAGAAGTAAGTCCTGCTGTTGTTAGTAGGTCCTGGTGGGCTTATGTCTGTGTAAAGTGTGCAGGGTTGCAGACTGAGTGTGCAGTCCAAAACGTACTGGTGCCAGCTAGTCATTTAAATGGGAGTTGCTTGTGTGATTTCGTGCAAGCATTATTGAAATAATTGGGGATTGATTACCACTACAACTCAGCGGTAAGCACACAGACAAATGCTATATTCAGCATTTTAAGCATTATTTATTATATATTCTAGTTGATGTACTGTTATGTGTACCAAGGCACTGCATTATATGCAGTTTATAAATGATGAATTGCCAACTTGCACAGTTGGTTTCCTCAAACATAAATTCGGTAGCAGTGAGATTCCATACAAAGCAGAAATATATTTGCAACTTATTTTTTAAAAAGATATAAAAACATTGCTACTATCCTAGACAGATTATTTTAAAAATCATTTTTAGGACAAGACATTTCCTACAGTATGGAATCAATATGTTTTATTTGTCTGGAAAAAATGAGATGAGTTGTCATTAAAATATACTTTTCTCAATAGGTGAGTTTTTCCCCATTAAATATATTGTGCTAAAGGTTCCCCACCCCTGTCTGAATGAATTTGTGCACTATATCTTTTTGGTATATCTTTTATTAAAACTGCACTGTATAGTTTACATGTGGCAAACCAGTAGCTATGTATTTGAATAACTGTCCTGTTGTGGTATGGAAAAGCATTGTTGTTCTAAACTAATGATGTGCCAATAAAATTTTGTATTTATGAATGACAATGGAACTGCATCTCTTATTAGAATGCCAAATATCAAATGTTGGCCAAAATAGGAATATCCAGTTTTGGGGAAAAATTAAAAATCTCTAACTTTCTAGTTGATAAAAGCAGAATAAATTGGATGTGTTGACTTGCAGTACAATCTTGAGTATGTTCACTCAGTTGTGAATCCCATTGACTTCAGTGGGATTTGCTCCTCAGTAAATGTCTGAGAACTGCAGCCTTAGCCAAATCTGTATCCAGTATATTGCCACGACACCTTTTTTTAAAAAAAAACTCAGTAAAATATTCTCTTACTGTAATATGAGATTACTCAGAAAACTGCAGGCAAATATTGATGATTAAATAGATTTTCAGTCTCCAAATTGTTGTTTTATTTTCCAGTGCCCAAATCTTTATTTTGTGTACTAAGCAATGAGTCTGACCAGCAAGGTGCCTCACTGGCCTTTCTGGTATCTTGTCATCAGGTTTCTACACGTTAAGAATGTTCAGTAATTGGTTCCCATTTTAAGTGTACAAGTTAGTTCCTACTGATCTTGGTATACCTCTTTTGGATCATTTAATTTTGACTAATAAAAGATGCACAACTGAAATGTATTTCTGCCACCACAATGTGCCTATACAAGTGTTGTTCTTCGCACAGATTATCATGTGGTTTCTATAGTACTGACTAGATGGAGTGCCATCTTTGTAGCATGGGTAGGAGTTAATGCTGTAGGCAATAACAGTGCAAACTTTACAAACATTTAGGTAATGTTCTTGTATTTAAAAATATGGTTTCTTCAGTTCTTGAATAAAAATGTAAGAAAAAAAGGCCTATATAAATGTTTATATTTTATGAGGAACTGCGCACTTTTGTACATCCAGCATAAGATATTCTCTTACTGCAATTTGTAGAATACTCAGAAGTATTCAGATCAGGAAACATGCCCACTGGTGCTGCACATCTCAATTAGGTCCTTTGGGTCTTCTGCATGTATTATCATGGACTGACTGAATTTGCAAACTTTCAACATACAGCTTCTAGTTTTATAAGCACATTTTTCTGTGAGGTGACTGGATAGTTTACAGAGGTGGGATACTGGTAAATTCCCCAGTGTGCTTCACAGGAAAAGAGCCAGCCTGTGTGGTCTTGGGTGAATTGCACAGTCCCAGAGCGTCTGCAGAACAAGAGAATGGTGATCCACTCCTGAGTACTTTATAGCTAGGAATCCTTGAGAAGGCTTGCCATAATGCAAGACACTTGACAGCATGGTTATTACTAAAATATTAATTTAGATATTCAATGAATGTAGTCAGTTCATAATGTAAAAGGAGTGGTAAGTTCAATGGGACTTAATCCCATAAAATTCAAAGTGCTTGTTTTGACATATAAAGCCCTAAACGTCTTGGGCCCTGGATACTAGAAGGACCGCCTCCTTCCATATGAGCCTACCCGGCAGTTAAGATCTAGCCAGGGGGCCCTTTTGAAAGAGCCATCCCTCAAGGAGGTAAGACGGATGGCTTGTAGACAAAGGGCCTTTTCGGCAGCTGCCCCCAGACTATGGAATGCCCTCCCGACTGAGATTTGTCTGGCACCGACACTGATGACATTTCGGCGCCAGGTCAAAACCTTCCTGCTCCAGAAGGCTTTTAACTGAAATAATATTAGCTGTGGGTCTGATGGCAATTTTATATATATTTTAATTGTATTTTAATTGTACATATCTTTATTGTATTTTAAACGCTGTAAGCCGCCCAGAGACCTTTGGGTAGTGTGGGCGGCATATAAATTAAATTAAATTAAATTAAATAAATAAATAA